GTTCTCAGGATTGTGACATTATTTGTTTTGCTACTCTAAATTGGCTTATTATAATTTATTTTAGGGGGCAAAGAAAAATGATTCTTAACTGTGAGTTTAAATAAATTCAGAAGGAACTGAATTTAGTTAAAAACCTAATTTATTTCTTTTAATACATAATAGAAATTACCTCTTTATTATTTCATTCTTCAGTCCCTGGTTTTATCTTACAAGGTACATGTCAGAACTATTTTTTGAACCATTGCTCCTAATTATACATTTTTTAATGTCCCTAAATGCAGTTTGACTTTTCTTCACTGATTATGATACTTAGTAAAATATAAAAATCTAGAAATATGCTGTATTCATTTCAGAGATTTTCAGTAATGTCTTCAAAATAAAATATAGTCATTTTTATTAATAGTCTTATAATGTAGTAGCAAGATCATGCTAGATATTAATGCAAATTCTAAATTCCTTTTAAGACGTTTAAAGCTTTTCCCCGCTTTAAAGAAGGCCTATAGTAATGATGCAGAGGCAATAAAAGTTTTAATTTTTCTGCTAGAAAATCTTATTTTAAAGGTAACTTTTGAACATAAGCAGACGCTCAGACTATATATTTACTTAGGGCATCAAACAGTGAATTACTGAAGATTTATGTTTTTATAGCTTTTTCAAAAGCTTCAAAAGCATTAAGTTAATTAGTAGAGAATGAAAATCTTTTGTATCATTCAGACACCTATTAGCAATGTTTGCTTGCAAGGAATTCAATTTTCTGGTTAATTTACCAAATGTGTGCTTCCCCCCACACCCCCTGTATTTAAATAGGAATGTAAACTAGGTCAAGACTTTAAATTAAGCTTGATCTGCTTTGCTGTGTTTTGTCTTCGTTACAAAAGGGTGTAGCTGGACACCAGGCATGCCAGCTTTATTAAGACAAGATAAAGTAAGCATTGGGCTGAGGTTTACAGATTCAGAGTCATTGGTGATTGTTATTAGATGTCTAAGTTGACTTCAGGTGGGGAATTGTAGGAATTCCAAACTCTGAAGACTTCATTGATGAGGTGAAGAAAGGTACATCTCCAGAAAGTAAATAATCAGTTGGACTAGTTTCACAGTACATTTCCAAGTGTTGAAAGAATATTGTGGTAAGTATTTTATTGCTGATAACCAGTAGCCTTTACCAAGGCTTACTGAAAAATATATTATTGAGAAAATGACGTTGGCTGAAAGAAATCTCCTTAGACATATATTGTATCTTGTCCCCCAGATTTACGTGTTCTGTGTGTGTGATAGTCATATACTAATTGTTTAAAGCAGGGTCTGCAAACGTCTCTGTGAAGGGCTGCTAGTAAGTATTTCAGTCTTTGTGGGTTTCTTTCATGACTACACAAATCTGTCATCGTAGCTCAAAAGCAGCCACAGATAATAGGTACACCAGTGGGTGAAGCTGTTTTCCAATAACATCTCATTTATAGATACTGAAATTTGAATTTCATATAATTTTGGCTTTTCATGAATTTTTTCTATTTTTTTTTTGTTTTTTACTTTTTTCCACCATTTGAAAATGTGAAAACTGATTTTGCTCGTGATCATTTCAAAAACAGGCGGATGGGTAGAATTCAGCTTGCAGGCCATAATTTACTCACCACTGGTTTAAAGTATTAATTTTCTAGAACTCACAATAGCTTGTGTATACTAGCTCCTCAGGAAATGTAAAAAATTAAAATTATATACATGGATCTTCATGGATTTTTAAAAGTGACAAAAGATTTAGAATAGATAGAGCCAAACTGTGAAGAAGAAGAAAAAAGAAAAGCAGCTGCTAAGCCTCAAGACCAGCAAAGTTAAAGTTGGATTAATGTGACAATTTGCTATTTCTGTTGCTGTTTGTGTGAAAAATCCAGGCGCTAAATACAAAAGATATTTTTAGTTTGGTTAAAAGTTAGTTGAGGCCAAATAAAAATGTCAGCGGCTTTATTTGTTAAGGTGGGTTCTCTATAAAATGAAGTTAACTTGAAACTTTTAATAGCATTATAGTCATTTAACATGAAATGGCATCATTGCAAAGAATAAGAACAAAATGGAGACCACCTTGCCATGTGTTAGAATTCAAAATACGATATCTGCTTGAATATGCTTATCTAATAAATAGCCAGCGTTCGTAAAACTACACTATCTCTTAGTTGAGCACACCATTGTTAAACTACTGAATGAAGATCTATACATTACATGAATTGTGCCTTCAAATTAAACCATTTTCCTCTAGTCAAGATTATATTATGGAATTGGAAAGAATTCATGGCTAACTCTTCTTTCTATTTCAAATGTAATTTATCATAATTTGGATATAAAAAGTTAAAATAATTGTTTTAAAAATACTGATCTTTTAGAGATTTTAAGTCATTATCCATTTAGAAATATATTTAAAAAACATGAATATACATGTTTAAAAAACTTACGTGTATTTGTGTATTATGTATATTTATGCTCATGTGTTTGAATTCTGGCACAGCAATTTCCTATAAAAACTTATTTTGAATAAGTATTTAAAATCAAAGTTATGTATTTCTGCTTCTAAAATCCCTACTTTGTCATTCTATCATAGAAACGTGTTACATCAATGTTAATCGAGTGAAAGGAGATGGCGAGAGACTGTAGTTAAATTTGATGCTTTTTAGTTGTAAACATTTTAAAAATTAAAAATACTATTTACAAGGCATAAAAAGTGCCAGCTGAACATTTTTAAAAAGTGAATCAATTAATTAAAGCATTTAGAGAACATAAAAGTACTAGCTGAGCATTTTTTAAAAAACTGAATCAATTAATTACATTCAAGCAATTTTTACTCCAGCAGTTTTACATACCTAGATATAATTTCAAATCAAGTTCTAGACCCCAAATCTCCTTTTCTTTTGTATTAAAACCATATAAAAATTAATATAAGTGATTTCTAGTGATGGAATTCCTAGTGGGTGGCTTTTGAGGATTTTAATTTAAGCGATGTTTTGATGACATTGAAAAATTTAATGTCATTAGTGATACAATCCTTAAAAAGCAAAGCATTATCATGATCAGGATAGATGTCTATACATGTGATATTCTACATTTTGCTAGATGCTACTATCCCTTTTGTGACAAAATAGTCATTCATTTAACAAGCATATCTTGAGAATCTATAGAGGACTTGGCATTCTGCTAAATGCTAAATACAAAGGCGAATTAACATTCTTGCCTTTGAGAAGCTTCTGGGTTTATTAGGGGAGAAAAAAGATGCACATCTCAGTCAACTAGGGCAATTTTGACCACAGGAGCTATTTGGCAGTGTCTAGAGATACTAAGTGGTCATGACTTGAGAGGGAGTCCTTCTGGCACATAGTGGGTAGAAGCCAAGTATGCTATTAAACATCCTACAATGCTGTTAAAACATCCTACAACAAAAAAATTATCCAGTCTAAAACATCAGTAGTGCTGGCTTTGATTAACCTTCATCTAAGTGTATTTTTTAGAACTGTTATTATAGAATGATGCATAGACTGTAGTAGAAACACAGAAGAAAAACAGTCAATTTGACAACTCAACAAGCAAGAAGGGTTATCTTGATTAGAGGAATATTGTGAAAGAAGAGCCATGTGTGAGTTGATTCTTGAAAGACTGAATGAAGAGATGTTCCTGTAGAGAGAGGGTAGAGTTGGGAAAAGGCGCTTTCCAGACAGAGGCAGCATAGTGAGCAAAGCTTGGATGTGTGAAATAACTTCTTATCCGTAAGTGGGGATGACATGAAGTCTAGAGTAGGTAGGCTGGATGTGGGAGTAAAAACACCTGAGGTTGGGTAGTAAGTAGGAGTCTCATCTTGGGAGCTTTTTCTTGCTGTGGCATAGATTTGGGTTTTCTTCTGAAAGGGGTTGGAAATGATGAAGGATTATGAGCAGGGACATATGATGAGGTAGCCTATTTGTAGGATTTATTCAGCCATGTTGTGAAGTGTCACAATGACTTAAAGCAAAACAAAATCCTACACCATGTGATTAAAGAAGAGACACAGGAGGAAAAAGTCTCCTGTAGGAAAGAAGGATCTCTGCTTCTTTTCCTATAAATGATTTACTTCTGATTCAACACCTCTCACTTTATTTGTCAGAACTATGTCAAAGCAATAAAAGCCTAACTTTAATTCATTTTCTGTAGTTTAATAAACGCATTACCTTGCTGTTTGGCTGACTCCTGTGGACTTAAGCTGCCATGTTGTAGCATCAGGTAGCATTGCCCTTCCTTTCAGCTTC